GTCTACTCTTATCACGATGATCCTTAACTTGATTTTTTATTAAAAGAAAATTTTCTTTTGGAAGCACAGTTCTTACTTTTTCAAAAAGACATTCTTTTTATTTGTTCAAAAACTAGATTAGAAAACTCATTTAATATGAGATCTGATAGCTAAAAAAAATTGTTGGTAGCGTTTGGTAAAGTTTTCTAAATATGATTTGAGAATAGAGTTGTATTTTGAGTTTGTGAATTATGAAATTATGATTTGAGTGTGAAAATTTATTTGGTTATGAGTTTTGAATTGAGTTTTGGAGGAAGTTTTGAGTTTTTGAAATCAGAAAGTTTTTTGATTCAAAATCTTACAACTCATAACCAAACACACAACCCAAAATTCTATTCAAAACCTCATATAAAAATTTAAAAAATTCCGAAAATATTTTTTATTTACAATATAAAATTAACAGGTGCCAAAAAAAAAACCCGAACACTGTTCCGGTCAACCGGCCGGATGTCTGGAGGGACGTCCAAGAGGACAACTGGGTTAGCCAAATTTTCCCGCCTGGAAAAGAGTTTTCAAAAGTGAGTGGAATTATAATTTAAAAACTCAAAACAAACACCACACTCAAATTAGTGGGTGGAAATGTGTTTGGAACACCTTTCCAAACACAGCCGTTGATTTTTTCGAAATTAAAATCTTAATTCCAATTCATTTGTTTAAGGATATTGAAACAAAGGTTTTGTAAATCTTTTAACTTAGCTATTTGCTCAAGCTAATTTGTTGGCCAAAACTCCCATATGTTTTTGAAATTTTACTTTGTTGTTTACAATGTGAGTTTTCCAAACTCCATTGAGTTTTGTATAAATTTCTCTGGATAGACCAAGGTTGAAAAAATCTTTTATTTCAGATTCATCTAGTTTAGATGTCTGAATATTAGTTGGAAACGGATTAGTACTCATTTGACAAATTATTTTGATAAACAAGCATCACTGGTGCACTGTAAAAAGCTTTTTTAGCTTTGGTCATGCTATCATAGGCTTTATCACTTGCTCTGGAAATGCGCGAAGTTGCTTATTGCAATCATTTCATTCTATGTAAATTTCAGGATGTCTTCCTGCAAACACAACATAAACTTTTTCTTGTCTGGGTTGTTTACCCTTGCTCATTTTTTCCTCTTGGTCTAGAGGTCTTCTGCAAAAAATTAAAATTACTTATTTAGTAATTTAATTTTCTAAAACAATTCCTACTAAGAAAATCTGCAAGAAAATTGTTAGTACCTGTAAGATGTTCTACTTCAAAAGTATATTCATAAATTTTATTATACCAAGCTAATCTTCTTCCTTGCTCAATAGGTTTTTTATTGATCAAGAAATCTCTTACTGCCTTATTATCAGTACGTACAATAAAATTTTCTGGGGCTAAATAAATATGAAAACTTTTTATTGCCAATATTATTGCAAGTAATTCTTTTTCAAAAATAATATATTTCTATTCATTGGGTTTAAATATATCCACAAATTAGTTGTTCTTTTTGTAATTTTATGGGTACTAGAATTTTTCTTGGTCTAATCCCATTTTCTAATAAAGGTATCTCTTTATCATGCCCTAATTTACTTGGTATTGCTTTAAGCATACATCCCAAACATAACTTTGAGGCATTTGTTTCTAAAATTAATTTATCACCTGTTTTAGGAAGATAAACGTTTGGTAAAGTTTTGACATTTTCTTTAATTTGTTTTATTAAAGCAACATCATCTGATGTCCATTCAAACATAACATTTTTTCTTAATTTGGTTGACCAAGGAATTTCTATTTTTGAAAGATTTTTGATGAAATTTCGTCCATCATTTAAAATACCTAATAAATTCTGTAATTGTGTTATATTTTCAAGAGTATCAGGAAAATCTCATACTTTAAACAAAATATGTTTTTGTAATTTTAAGCCTTTCTGGTCTATAATTATTCTCAAAAATTCAATTGATTCTTTTTCTAGTTCAATCTTTTTGGGTGACACCAATTCCATGTTTTTGAAATTTTTCACAGAGTAATTTTAAATGTTTCTTATGCTCCTCTCAAGTTTTAGAGAAGATAAGTATATCATCAATATATACTACACAACAATTCTTAAGATCTTTAAACATTGTATCTATCCACCGTTGAAATACCTGTGGTGCTATATTTAAACTAAAAGGAATAACATTCCAGTGGTAATGTCCTCTAGGTATACTGAAAATTGTCAATTTTTTTGGCTCTTCAGTCAATTGAATTTGCCAAAATCCACTCTTACAATCGAATTTGCTAAAGATTGTTGATCCTTTGGTTAAGTTAATCAAAACATCTTTTCTTGGAATAAAATATCCATCAAATTCTAAATTTTCATTTAGTCGTTTATAGTTGACTACCTATTTTGTACATAGCCGAATGCCTCCGAAAGTAAAGGAAGAGTGTCCATACCCAGAACCCGACTCCAAACAGGATTATACTCCACATTAAGACTTGCCAGAAACTTGAAAACCCTTTCCTGTACAATGAACTTCATGTACCCAACTGAATCAGCAGTGCAAACAAGCTTATAGTCCTATAGGTGATCAAAGCATTTCCAGCCATTGATAAGGAAGGTGAAATACTGAAGAACAGTATGCTCCCCTTGAACAAAGCTCTCAATAGAGCGGCGCATCTCAAATGCCTGTGAGAAATTCCCTTTGCGGGAATAGGTGGAAGTCACAGCATCCCAAATATCCTGGGCAATCTCCATAGACAAGTAGCCCTCACCGATGTCTGGTACCATCAAATGAATAAGTCAACCCATAATCAAAGTTTTGGTAATCTCTCATTGGTCATAACCAGGGTCAGTGGTGTTGGGTGCCTGTATTTTGCCATCAACATATCCCATCTTCCCTCTGCTCTTCAAAAAAATAGTCAAACTCTACGACCACGCTAGATAATTCTGACCATTAAATGGAGAGGCGGTGATTTTAAGAGTAGGGTTGGGGTTATCAGTCATAGTAATAGGTAGAATGGAACTCTCACTCCTAAATGTCTGCGAAGTAGTGGACACACTAGTGGAATCTACTATGGATACTGTATTACCAAACCCTCAACAAAACTAGTGTCAATCACAAACTCGGAAGATGGTGGAGGAATAGTAAGCACAATGACCACTAAAAATATTAACGAATTAAACACATCAAAAAAAAAAAAAAAATAAGAAGAAAAGAAACAGAACAGGAACAAATACTTTTAGGTCACTACCTCATTACAAAGTCAACAACAACAGCAGTTCAACCAAACATAGAGACGCACAACAGAGGAATGTCAAAGGAATCCAGAGATGACCTCGATCACTGTCGTCTTGCCTCGCCGACTGCCTAAGGGTTCAACTTAGGCCAAAAGGCCTGTTGGCAATGACGAAGGGTTCGACCTAGGCTAGAAGGCCTGTCAGCAGTGACGAAGGGTTCGACCTAGGCCAAATGACCTGTCTACGATGGTGATAGAAGGGACTAGGGCTGCCAGCAGTTAGCAGCTAGGCCAAAAATCCCTTCGACAGTAGCCGACTGACCTAGGACGGTGGCATATCTGTGGAGGCTTTGTGGTGGCTGTGTGGTGTATGGATTTAGGGTTGTGACTCTGATACCATGATAATTTTAGAGAATACCAAGATTAGGGAATGATTGTGATATCATCCCCCTTTTATATTAATGAAAATTAATAATAATTACAAGGAAGCCCCAAGGCATAGAATAATTACAATGGATAAATAACCCAACTAATAATATGCTATTCTAACACATTACCATCAAGATGTTAGCCACAATTATTCTTAAACCATTTCTATGTCTCATCTTTTCTAGCATAGTAAATTTTATGCACAGTTTTTTCTATTTCCTTTGCTTTTTCACCTACCTACTTAGTTTCTTGTAAACATGTTACAGTAACTTTCCTTCTAATCAGAGTATTTACTAATTCCAAAAATTTACAAATTAATATTTCAATATTCCAAGCTGCTAATCTAAACCTACAATCCTGAGTTAACTTCTTTACCCACACTTGTCCAGGAAAGAGCATGGGACCTTGCCTATTTTTCACTGCACTCGAGAGATGATGTAGCGCCCCTTAGCCATTTTTTGGAACACCCAAAGGCAGGCACAAGTCGTTGCTTACGGGGAACGCCCTAGCCTTTATTCGCATATTCATATTAGGATTCATGTTCTTCTCAGGTAGCTACTCGTGATTATTAGCTACCACCGTAACTTCTAATTTAGAAGAAGAAATGAATAGAAGGTGGTTTTCATAACCACCCTCAGTATTAGATCATGGTGGGAAACCACCATACATCCCATATTTTGAGATTCAACAAACTAGATCAAGAATTGTGACAGTTCTCTTCTTCTAGTAAGAAGATATGTCTCATTCTCTTCTTCCTCCTTTTCTTTAATTAGTTTTACCAATTCATAATGCTTTCTTCATTCTGAACCCCTAATACTTCACTCATAATTCCAGTGTCCACCTTAATCACGCTAACATATATAGGTGACAGTGTCCTCAATCACATCATTTCTGCTGCATTGAAATGATTACTGAAAAGATTCCTTTGTTAACTGTCACAACTAAGCATTAGACCCAATTACTTGGGGTAGGCGTATGAATGATTTATACACTGAATCAAATGCTCTACTAAAATCCGGAATCTTCATGTCTGCAGCCATCACCAAAACCCTCCTTTTTTCCTTCTTTTTTGCCTTCGAGGGACGGGAGGAAGGACTATCCTAGGCAATCACTTCTTCAGTCACCGAAGAAGCGAACTAACACAAAAGCTACAACGGTGTGTCTGTCTAATATTGTCCACCTTGACGACTATACTGTCAATCACAATCCTTTAAAATCTTGTGCAATATAGAGAAAGGATAACCCTTATACTACATATTACTAGTTTGGAAAACAACTCTATAGAAAAGCCAGGGAACCAAAAAGCGTTCACAAAGTATTGATAAATAACATCAGCTTCTAGAATTCTATCAAACCACCTGAGAAAGACGCTCAGCATCCAGAGCTTGACGAAATCTAGACTGTAAAACCTCAGCAACAGCTTTTACTTCTTTCTCAGGAACAGCAAAGCAGATAGAATGCTCACTGCTAGCCTGCATTAGACCCAATCACTAACTACATGAATTTTACAATATGGAAAAATATTTAACAGATATAAGAAGATGAAGATACCTGGGATATCATGATAACGTTGGCTCCTACATCTTTGACTGCACCAAAAATGGCACTAGCTGTACCAGGAACACCAACCATTCCAGTTCTGCAAAAAGAATGTGCAAGGTGCAGCTTAAATGGGAAAAGGAAATTAAAGAGAATGCATACAACTACAAATAGGATGAACAGAAATATCATTGCAATACAAGCTCACCCCTCAACATTTACAAGGGCCAAATTGTCTATAGTTGCAAACCCTTTGACATAAGATTCCAGCCTCTGCCCATCTTCGAACTCATTAACGGAAGGCTGGCAGATCATCGTTCCAGGTGCTGAAAGATTGAAGATATTTCTAATAATGATTGGAATGTCATATTGCATCACTGGAATGATGGTTCGGGGATGTAAAACATTTGCCCCAAAATATGACTGCACAAGCATGTAAATTTTTCTTGTTAAGAACGCTAAATAGCAAGTGTCAGCAACTTTAACAGGTATAAAATGAGATTAAAGTTCACCATTTCCCAGGCCTCTTGATAAGACAACGTCTTCAATACCACAGCCTCACTAACTGCAAAAAGAAATGTTCATCAGTCATTCCAATCAGTGTGTTACATGGACTCTTCTATTTGGCCCAAAATACCGGTGTCTATCAGATATGACAAGGGCAAGGGCGTGGGATATGTGTCCGACGCCCGTACCCAATTTAGTCACTCGGATCCTTTAATTTGTTACAATATATAAAGAAGAAGAAACTCACATTTGTTAGTAAAGCAATATTTTTAGCCTCTCACATTAATTATAGATAGAAATTTCATATTTTTCTTGAATCCTATTTAATTTCTGGTATACTTCTACATAATTTACAACATCTCATCCGAGAATATTATATATTTTTTAATATATATGTATATATGACGCGTCCCCATACCCATATCTTTGAATATGAATCGCAAGATCCTAATATCTAAGTTTATGAAGGTCTGACACTTGGATACAAACCCGCACCTAATACTCGTACCCAAGTCCATAATCAAACACAAAATTAACATTGTTAGTAGAAGTACCAGTCCAGAAATTTACTTCCATCATCAGAATAAATGATTAATTTTACAAGCAACAATCTTCCAGAGATTTTTCATAAGTGGTGATTCAAATGCACAAACTGCACAAACCTTTTCTGGGATCAGCACTGCAAACACCATCAACATCTGTCCAGATTGTGACTTGGCGTGCCCTGAACAAAGCCCCCATTATAGCTGCAGAGAAGTCACTTCCATCGCTTTTCAAAGTTGTAGGAATATTTTGAGGTGTACTAGCTATGAAACCAGTTGCAATAACAGTCTTAGATGGATTTTGCAAAAACCATTTCTCAAGTCTTTTTTCAGATTCCAAGTAATCTGGATCAACTTGATTAGAACCACTAGGATTTACAATAAGGACCTCCCTCGTGTCCATCCAATTACAATCCATCCCACTCTGCAGCAGAGAAAAATCAAATAAAAAGAAAAAACTAATTCAGAAAATTTCAAAATCACAACTTCTAGATATTCTTTCAAAATAAAGTGCAAATAAGCACAGCACCACTTTTCTGACAAGAGATGCCAACATCTGAGCAGACCATAACTCTCCATGTCCTACAACAAAATCTGTAAACGATTCTGTTGCATGTCCGGCTGCAGTACATTAAGCATGTAAATCAATATAATATGTAAAAAAAGTCTTTTTGGGCACAGAGAACCAAAGGTAATAGCAGGAAGCAAAAATTATGGAAAATTTTATTCGCACACCATAGAAAATCTTGATACACATCATTTGTGTCGTTCAGATACAAACTTCCAAACAAAAGAAAAATGTTCAAATATAAACTTATGAACAAAAATAAATTGTTCAAATATACATTTCATTCAACAATTTATGTCCAAACAACTAGTTTTTGTTTAAAAGTTTATGCCCAAACATTTGACTTTTGTTCGAAAGTTGATATTTGAACCACTGAAATGGTGTGTACTGAGATTTTCTATGGTATGTAAATAGAATTACCCAATGCGGGTGACACATTCACCCATCAATGTAATAGTTTGCAAAATATCACAAGACTCTTAGGCTCCATTTGTTTTGCCGTAAAATATTTTTGTGAAACATATTTTCCTCATTTTCCATGTTTGTTTGCATAATAAGTTGGGAAAACATTTTTTTTTCTATAAACTATTTGCATCAAGCGGCTGAAATGTAACTTACAGATTCCGAACCAGTAAGTTACTTTCCGACTTCCAAATTGAAAGCTTTGGCTGTACTCTAAAATCTGTGTGGGTGGGGGTGGGGGGGGGGGGGGGGAGAGGGGGTCGTGTATGGAAAGGAAGAAAAAAATGGTCTGAATTGAACAAGATGTAGATAAAGTGGGTGGGAGGGTGGAACAAATGATGAAGTGCAAAAAATAATGTTCCAAATATATGTTTTTAGAGATGCAGCCAAACACTTAAAAATAGAAGAATGTAAATTATTTTTAGAGTAAATTATTCTACATCAAAACAAATGGAGCCTTAAAAACATCATGAAATAAATTCAACAGCAGTCAACTAAAAATAGCTCATATTACAGATAAATTAAAGAACATTGCTTACTGATAGCAAACCAAGTAATGTTGCAATCATTATAATCACCTTCAAACACTACTATAAATGTCAAGCTGCACAATTTGTAACTCTCATAGAAATATACTTCACCCATGACATTGCACAATGGCAGTGCAACACATTAGTCATTCAACTGATGGATTCAAATCCCCATCATCCATGTGCCAATTGCTTTTTGATTGAGGGAAAAGAAAAGGAAAAAAAATGCAAAAAAAAAAAAAAGGAAAATCAATTTGGGAAGGCAGGTAGGACTAAGATAATATCATGTATATGTGAGAATTGGGGTTGCATGACATACAAGGGACAAGCATGTGATTTAACAGCGACCTCAAGTTTGGCCATCATTCGGGCACTTGCCTGCTAAGTGGGGGTATCACAGCAAGAGTTTGAACCTATCAGGTGACATAACAGATCTTTCTAATTACATATTGGGCAAAAGACAACAAGAAAAAATTTGTTCTGATACCTATATATATTGCACGAAGCATTGCTTTAAGGTTATTGATGTCATCATGCAACTGCAATAAGAAACTAGCAAGGTCATCCCCCTCAAGTAGATCCAGGGCTGTTAACTTGTGCCTTTCTAGAACAGCATCCAATGCAGCTATGTAAGAATCATCCCGTGATTGCGCCTTGCAGACAAGATCATACATCATATTGGTCACCTTTGACATTGCAGACACAACAACTAACTTTCTCTCTGAATCATCATTGATAATTACGTGCGCAACATTCCGAATTCTTTCGGAGCTTCCCACACAGGTACCACCAAATTTATGAATAGACCAAGTGTCGCCTTTGGGAAACTCAACTTTTTCAGAAGAAGTTTGTTGCATAGCATCTGCCAATAAATGTGACGGAAGGTATATATTAGACCTATTGCAAAGTAAAACTTCATAACATCATAACACGAGTTCAATTTTCAAAACATAATTTGAAAGTAATGGCATATAATGAACCTGCAAGTGAAGCACAAATAGGAAAGGTTGACAACTTCCTTTGGACCTATTGCAAAGTAAAACTTCATAACATCATAACACGAGTTCAATTTTCAAAACATAATTTGAAAGTAATGGCATATAATGAACCTGCAACTGAAGCACAAACAGGAAAGATTGACAACTTCCCTGGACTCCATTGACAAATAAAATCCATTCTGAAACAAGAAACAAAAGCCTACATCAGCAATTTCAATCAACAGAAAAAGTGCATGTGAGTTAAATCTATGACAGAAAACCTTGACTGGAGATTCACATGACTCTGGATTGCAATTTACAGCATAGCATTACAAATTTATTTAAGGAAAAAAAAAAGGCAGAAAAGAAGTCCCTTGAAGAAATATTGGAAAAAAAAATTGATATGTAAAACAGATTCTAGGAATATGTATGCGAATAAATAAGGGTACACACCCACCCAAACACAGAATCAAACACTGATGGTATATTGAGGTCAGGATGTAACATTCAAACATTATCACAATGCAGCCCACCACAGAATGATAATGATTTTTTTTTTCTTTTGACAAATTTGTGAATTATGTTATATAAAAAGAAACAAGCAAAACAATAGTTATATGAAACTATCCAAAAAAACATGTTACAATACATTTCCATAACCTTACTAGTAATCTGAAAGAAAAAAGAAGAAAAAAAATGCCATACTTCTTGACATGGTTAAGTGCAAAAGATCACCCCAACCTACAAGCTACATACAATACCTACCTTATTGTAGAACATAAATAATAGGGTATTCTTTTTAAACCATATTTATGAGCTACATGTTGGTGGTTATGGTTGTTAGGAATGGTGTTTTAGGTATTGTAAAGTTGTGACCTATGTGCTACATGGACTTGGATAGAATTATCGGGTACAGGTGTGTGTCCAAGCGTCAAACCTTCATTAACTTAAGTGTTAAGATATTGGGATATGTATCCAACATAGGATATAAGTACAAGGACTCTTTATGGACAGTTATATATGTTACATATTACATAATACCCTTTGATAAATTATGTAGAAATGTACTTGAAATTAAATAGAATTTACGGAGAATCTAGAAGTTCTATCTCTCATCTATGTTAGAGACTACGTGTTTCTTATTCTTCAAACATTGCAAAAAGTTGAAGATTAAATTGGGTACATGTGTCAGACAAATATCCCACACCCTTACCCTTGTCATATCCGGTAGACACGGGTAGGCCCATGTAATACAGGTACAATCCATTGTCTAGTAGGTAAGTTAATGAGGTGAGAAAAAACTGTAGCTATAGGGTCTTTGAGGTTTTATTGTGCTTCCAGACTGCTTGTATATCATTAGAACGAGGCGTGAATCCATATTGTTTTCAGCATTGGTTTGAATGAAACTGAGAACTTTATGTAACAACACTCGAATAGACTCTTCCAAATAGAGCGTTATATATACTTATGCTGTGTTTGGTTGGAGGATTTGGGGGGTAGTTAGGTAGTTGAAATTCCTTCACATTTATTGCATTTCTCTTGCCAAAACAGATGCTTCACATACGCATTGCATACAATCAAGATTTATTGTCATTTGATAGTTGTAATTATTGGAGAAAGTAAATGCTTAGGTGATGTTTGGGAATTGAGTTTTTTTAGTAATTTTTAGTTTTTATTAAAATACATACTAGTCAGATTATTACAAGGCAGTATGTTTCAAGGCCAGGGGGTATGATGATTCTCAGTTTCTTCATATATTCATATGCATCCAGACCTACAAACATACATGTATATATACATGTTGTCAAATTGTGAATCGATCGTGAATCGTGAATCATTTTGCTAAATTAATAGATCATGAATTGTAATATTTATTTTATTTAATATGTATATACATATAAAAATAAACAAATAGTGTTTAAAATGAAATAAATATCAATATAACTAAATTGAATATATGTATGTACATATAAAATCACGTATATCAATATGACTAATTAATCTCTTCTATACATCTTGATAGTTTGGTGAAAATCGTTTCATGCATTATGTAAGCAAGAACAAAAATAGAACTAAATCACAGTAAATGGCAAATTGAATTGCATGATTTAGTCAATTTCCAATTCAAGAGTACAATTTGAATAGTTTTTGCTTAAGAATTGTGAATCTTACGATTCTAAGAATCATGATTTTATATATGTGAATGCTGTTAACAGTGTCTTTAGGGTACTTATTAACACACTTAAATGGTCATATATGATGTGGTATCCGCTGTACTTTTGATTGTGCCATTGTGTCTTGAGATTTATGTGTTTTGAGATTTCTACCACATTGGTTGGGTATATCGGAGAACAAGAATTTTGAGTAGTGTTAGACTGTCCCTAGTAAATGTAGATGATTGAAAAAGTATTAACTTTTTAATGGTTTGTTAATCAAATGATTCCATTTGTAAACAAAAACATTTTGTTTGCCTCGTTTGTTAATGTTTTTAGTTTTTAGTTTACAAAAATCAAGAAACAAGTTTTTGTTTATTTTTGTAAAAAAACAAAAACAGAAAACTTGTTTGGTGTACAAAAATATTTTGAAAACAATATGTTTTCAGTTTTTAGTTTATATTTACAAAAATTTTAAAAACCCAAATAAAAACTTATTTGGTAAATTTTTAATTTATAAACTGTAGGTCTCAGTTTTTAAATTGGGCTGGAAATCATAAACTGAAAAAATCTGTTTACATTTCCTGTTTATGTTTGTTTAAAAATTTGAAAATCATAAATTTCTTTATTTACATTTGTTTAAATTGGTGATTTTGTTTTGGAGGTTACTATTCTGTTGAGGATGAGTATGCAACACAAGCCGTCAGAGCTCAACAGTGGTGGAGGTGAAGCTCAACAATGGAGATGGTGAGATCGACGACGTGTAATGGTGGATGATGGCCTCCCTACTTCCTTTGCAATGCTCAGTGTCACTCTTACACTGCCACTACACCCCCAAACTCGTGGCAAAGGAAACGGAGGAAGACGAGCTGCCCAAGCAAGCCGAACACTGAATGGTAGAGAAGAAGATGCTGGCGGCAAAGATAGCAAGCATGGTGGCGGAGAACTGGATGATAGCAGCGAGGGACAGTCGATCTACGGCTGCGATGGTGTTTTGATCGGGAAGAGACGAGGATGACAACGAACATGTTTTTTGATCAGAAAGAACAGCTTTTGATAATATGTGTGATATTATTGTCATAAATAATAAATATAAATATAAATATTTTAAGCTTGAAAAAAAAAATTTATTTGAAATATATTTTTTTTCAAATAGTATTTTTTTCCAATTAAATTTTTTTCAATTATTTTTTTTAATTAATTTTTTTTCAATTATAATATGTGTGATATTATTGTCATAAATAATAAATATAAATATAAATATTTTAAGCTTCAAAAAAAAAATTATTTGAAATATATATTTTTTCAAATAGTATTTTTTTCCAATTAAATTTTTTTCAATTATTTTTTTTAATTAATTTTTTTTCAATTATAATATGTGTGATATTATTGTCATAAATAATAAATATAAATATAAATATTTTAAGTTTGAACAAACATATTTTTTAGTTTATTTTTTAAAATTTTTTAAAATATTTTGTTCAAACTAAACGCATTTGTAATTTATGTTTTCCTAAAAATAAACAAAAATCAGTTTATAAAATTCAATTAAATTGTTTTTCAATTAAATTTTTTTCAATTATTTTTGTAAACATAAACTAAAAACGTAAATGTTATCAAACGTTACTTTACTGTTTAGGGATAAATTTTTTATTTTATTTTATTTTAAGATTTAGGATTTAATTCTTAAAATTTATTTATTTTTAAATATTATTTATTTATTTATATTTATTTAATTTTTTAAATTTATTTATATTTATTTTGATGTGAGTTGTGTGTGAGTGTGAGTTGTGTGTGAGTGATGTGTCAGAGAGAGGGAGAGAGAGTGTGTGGTGTGGCTGTGAGTGAGTGCGTGGGTTATGAGTCTTGAAAGCATGGTTTCTAACCACGCTTTCTTTACAACACGGTTTTGTTTAAAAGCGTGGTTAGAAATCATGTTTTTTTTTAAAAAAAAATTCTTTAAAGCGTGGTTTAGAATAGCGAGTTCAGAAGAAAAAAATTTTTCGATAAAAGCGTAGTTTAGAACAGCGAGTTCAGAAGGAAAAAAAATTAATTAAAAGCGCCTTTTGTAACCGCGATTTCTTAATCAAAAACGCGTTTTGTAACCACGATTTTAAGACTTCCCAAATTCCACGCGAGACAGGCGCATATATGTTGAAATCGTAGTTGTGAACCACGATTTCGCCTATTTTGGGAATTCTTTCAAAACTAGGCTTAGTTTGGGAATTGATTTACTATTTTGGCTTATTTAGGGAAATGCCCCGGCTTTAAATTCTAACCTTCTTCGTGTGAGCGAGCTTCTGTATATTTTGTACAAATTATGGAATCAGTAGGCTAGGAGCACGCTCACAATTTTACCCAACTCTGTGTAAATAACATTTGAGAAATTATCTAGGGATGATGGGAGGAAATAAAATTTATAATTTTAATTATTAATAGGGAAAAATACCAATAAATTTTAAGTTCAGATAGTTTAAATCATTTAGTACTGTAATTTATTTTATAGATTGATTGGTCCTATGTCAAAATTAATTATACGTAAGCCCACGAATGTAACACATGAGTTGGATGTTTGGAGGGGTATATTGGGTATTTAGGTGATGTTATAGTTACTAATGTTGTGTTTGATTGAGGGATTTGAGGAGAGATTTAGAAAGGGAAATGGAAAAAGTAGGTGAAATGTGAATAAATCATGTCTATATTTCACATAGTTTCATACACCTTTTTTCTTTTTCTTTCCAAATTTCTTCCTAAATTTTTCAACCAAACACAACATAAAAGAAAAGTTACACACCTTTTCCCTTTTCCTTTCCAAATTCCTCTCCAAATCCCCCAACCAAACACAGCGTAAAAAGTTCAAAAATATACTATAGCATTTTTTTCTTTTTCCCTCCATTGCGAACCAAACAAAAGTTCAAAAATGGGAACGTCAACGTTTTCTTGACGATGTTGCAATGTTGATCCTCAGTTTGTGTGAGTTGAATGCTAGATCTGAAAATGTTATACCCAGAATTCATTATTCCCTAAATAACATTACTAAACCCCCAAAAAATCCTAGAAA